CTCTCCTCCTCATCATCTTCCATACACCATCAAGAGTCCTTCATAAAGGTAAGATAACATATGTACAGTACTGTATTATAGTTAGAGAAAAAATTGTATTCAGTATAAAATGTATTTTTAAGATAATATTTTTGAGGGTGTGGAATGGATTAATTCAATTCCCTTTATTTCTTTTGGGAAAAATCGTTTTGACCTACGATATTTCGACTTACAATAAGTTTCTGGGAACGGATTACCATCGTAAATCGAGGCCCCCACTGCATATATATATACACAGTATATGTTGTTGAATATGACCGAAAGGGTAAGATTAATAATTTTAACACGCATTTTCTCAATATTTCTTACGTTTTTCTTCACTGTTGGGGGTAATTGAAAAATTAACTCTTCAAAGTTCATTTTTACACTTTTTATTTATGGTATGATGTCTAGAAGCATTTCGCAAGACTTCTAACATTTTCAAAGATTGATTTTTATGTACTCCATTTATGCTTATATTTGTTTTTCGTGTGTTTTTTAAAACACACAACTCAGCAGCAAGAAACCAAGCCTTCACGATAAGATATTGCCAAGATCTGATTCGAAATCAGATACACAAGGCAGAAAATGAGATCAACGATAGCAAAGCACAATTACTTCATGCTACAGACCAATGGAGACACACCAACATCGAAGAAGACCTCCGTACTCAAATTGACCAACACCTCGACATCCTTACAGATCGATATCGCCACAGCACCGAAACCAGGATCATCAAGAAAATGATAACATTATTTGGAAGACCTATGGCGATCCCTCGACCCAGAGATGGCTTCTTAATTAAACATTGCTGGCATTGACCTCACTGAGTACCAAATCATTCTCTTGAATCTGGGTATAAACTGTCACGTTATGTCCATACCAAGTGAAATGGCCCAGAAAATGGAGTTGGAGATCCTATTAGATGACATATTCGACCTCGAGAAGCAAAAGAAGGTTACCACTAAAGACACCTTGCAAGCGGAATTTATTGTAGATGGAGGAAAGATTCGAGGTAACTACAGAAGCACCATACTGTCCCTCGAGCTCAAAGCGGCAGCTAAAAGCCTTCATGAGAATAAGGAGATAATCATCAGGAGAGGTGACAAGTTGCCAATATACATCATTATTATAAAAGATGAATATCTGGCAAAAATGAATCTCATATTCTCCGACCAAACTAAATTCCAAAGGGCAACGAAGGACACTACAGCCGAATTGAAAACGAAGGTAAACGGATTGATCGAAACTATGAACGCCAAGAAATTCAGACTCCACTTGCCAAAGGTTATCGGGGAATACAGACCTGGTTACGCATATGGGAATGTCAAGACCCACAAGCCTGAAAACCCACTTCGGCCAATCATCAGCCAGGTACCCACACCCACATACAGACTGGCTAATTAAGCGACTCAACTGCCTGCAGATTGTTTCTGTGAATAATTCCATTTCTCCTACCCTACCCATAAACATTGGTGTTCCACAGGGCAGCATACTTGGCCCTCTCCTCTTTCTCATCTACATTAATGACCTTCCAAAGGTAAGTGCTCCAAAGGTAAGTGCTTCCAAAGGTAAGTGGAAAGTGCTCCATATGACAATATAACAATATATCATTTAGAACATATGCGAGTTCAGGACAGGAACTGCGATAGACAGAGTGAAGGAACAATCCCCAAAATACTATGCATGTTAATAGCTTTGCAAAAATGTAAGAACATCAATGTTATGTACTCTCACAAACCCAATGTATTTTCCTGTATATCAATAAATAAATAAATAAATAAATAAATAAATAAATAAATAAATAAATAAATAAATAAATAAATAAATAAATAATAAATAAATGCCCAACAATGTCTACCATAAAGCCTATATAGTTTCCTCCCCCCTGTCCTTAAATATATGGGTCACTTTATATATTTATGGTTACAATAAAATAATATTTGCCAACACAGGCCTAGCTGCCTATATAATAATAATAATAATAATAATAGTAATAATATTTTTTTTTTTTTTGAGATATATACAAGAGTTGTTACATTCTTGTACAGCCAATAGTACACGTAGCATTTCGGGCAGGTCCCTGGAATACGATCCCCACCGCGAAGAATCGTTGTTACAACCAAGTACACATTTTACTGTTGAGTTAAACAGAGGCTACAGTTAAGGATTTGCGCCCAGTAAATCCTCCCTGGCCAGGATACGAACCCATGACAAAGCGCTCGCGGAACGCCAGGCGAGTGTCTTACCACTTCACCACGGAGAATGGTAAATATAATAATATTTATTCACATGAAAGTACAATGGGAATGTGAGATTACTTACATAAGATTGGTATTTTTACTTGCCCAAAATGCTATGCGTACTAGTGGCTTTAGGTACTGTATGTACTATCTCTATCTTTAAATCCAACATTATGTATGTAACTCAATGAATGTACCTTTACCTGAATAAAAAATCAAATCAAATCAAAATTCTTGCAAAACCACTAACACAATAGTGTTTTGGGCAGGTCCCTAATTTAACATATCAGGTAAGATGAGAAGGTACATTGTAGCAAAATTTATATACAGTAATTTAAAAATAAATAATTCATTGTGTCGGGGGACAGGAAGCCAGATAAATATTTTGTATATATATGTTATTAATATAAATATAAATAAATATTTACTGTATGTTATATCAACATTTAACTCAAATATAAATTGACAGAGGTGATTACACTGGTGAAGATATATGTATTAAGTATTAATATTGGGGAAGTGGGTAGTACAAGAACAGTGTGAGTTTGAAGCACAAGGTAGGCAACTATGAAGATGAAATTAGGTAATTTTGGGTTTTACTTTTGACTAAGGCATACGTTGGATAACTTTTTAATTCTTTAGGGAGGGAGTTCCAAAGTCTGGGACCTTTTATTTGCATGGAGTGTTTGCACAGATTTAGTTTGGCTCTCGAGATATCAAAAAGGTATTTACTTATGGTGTGGTACTGGTGTGTTCTATTACTCCTATGAAGGAAAAGTTTCAGATCAAGATTAGCATTTAGGAACAAAGTTTTGTACATGTAACTAGCACATGAAAATGTGTGGAGTGAGTGTATGTTTAGCATGCTAAGGGACTTAAACAAAGGGGCTGTGTGTTGTTTAAAGACAGAGTTTGTTATAGTTCTGATAGCAGGTTTTTGCTGAATGATGATGGGCTTGAGGTAATATGCAGTAGTTGAACCCCTTACACATGTACCGTATGTAAGATAGGGACTGGGGCATGTGAGTGGGAACACCCACTGCATAGGTTCGAACCCTCCTCATTCCTCCTACAGATTTTCTCATAGGGATAGATGAGGAACATAATAACTGATTTTAGAGAGTATACCAACAGTTTTTTTTAGATTTTTTGGTATGTGGGTGCAAAAGTTTAGTCTCTTGTCTATGTACAGTATATGTCAAGGAACTTTCCCTCCTTTAATTGGTAATGTTAACATTGTCTATCTGAAGTTGAATTTGATTTGAAGATTTATTACTAAATAAAATGTAGTAGGTCTTTTCTGTTTAGTGTGAGTTTGATGGTTAACATCGATGAGTGGACCTTTTTAAATTTATTATTTATAATATTATTTAGTTTGTGGGGGTTGGGGGTTGGGGTCATATGTACGCTATATGGTTCGTATCCTGGCCGGGGAGGATTTACTGGGCGCAAATCCTTAACTGTAGCCTCTGTTTAACTCAACAGTAAAATGAGTACTTGGTTGTAACAACGATTCTTCGCGGCGGGGATCATATTCCAGGGACCTGCCCAAAACGCTACGCGCACTAGTGGCTGTACAAGAATGTAACAATTCTTGTATATATCTCAAAAAAAATATCTGTTGATAATTCTCAAATTTTACTATAATGTGCCTACTAATCTTCTTCAAATTTTCTTACAATGTACCTGTTAACTTTTTTTCTATTTTGCTAGAAATTACCTACTTAAAATTATCTGTTAGAGTTAGGACCTGACTGAAACACTATGTGTGTTATTGGCTTTACAAGAATATAAAAACATCAATGCTATGTATTCTCATAAACCCAATGTACCTTCATGTATATATATAAATAAATCAAATAAATAATGACTGTAAAGATGACTTAATTTCAAATATACAGTATATACAAAAGCGAATACTCATACATATTTAGAGTCAAACAGCGAGTTTTTCCCTGAATACTCATTATTCTCTTCTCTGATGCTATGGATCCCTACAAGTATACCAGGGGTAGTACTCCTATACAGTACAGTATATACTTATTTATTTATTTATATATATACAAAAAGGTACATTGGGATTGTAAGGATACATAGCATAATAATTACATTCTTGTAAAGCCACTAGTACGCGCAGCGTTTTAGGCAGGTCCTTAATCTAAGAAAATTTTAAGTAGGTAAATACTAGCAAAATTTATAAAAATGATAACAGGTACATAGCAAGAAAAAAAATAACAAAATATACAAAATATACAGGGTCCTGGTAGTCCAGATGGGTTCTTTCTCGACGCATAATCGAGAATTCCGGGTTTAAATCCCGGGCGAGACAGAAATGGTTGGGCACATTTCCTTTCATTTAATGCCTCTGTTCACCTAGCAGTGAGTAGGTACTCAGGAGTTAGTTAGCTTGTTGTGGGGCTGCAGGGTCAGTGATTTGACATGGGGGGCACCTGGATAAAAGTCAAAACGTGTATGAATACACTCTGGCTTCCTGTCCCGTGGCACAATGAATTATTATTATTAGTATTATAATAAAATAAAGTTTCAAATGGAGAAAACTTTGGCGGGGAGGGGAGTTGAGTAAGTTCACTTCGTATAATCATTAAATCGTATAATAAGTAGTCTGCAAACTGGGTTTTAAAATCTTCAGGGTATGTTGGCATGATATACGTTAGTATATTGAGTATATATTGTATAGTGTGGGCATACAAAGTATATAATGATGTTTAAAAAGATAAATTGTGAATACAATGCCTTGGGAGGTGAAACATTAGGGGTACGAAATGACCGAGCCCATGTTGACTAAGCACAATCCGGTGGAGTCGGCCACGTCCTGTCTCGCTCACCCTCGCTCCTGTTTAGTTTGACAATGGTGAGTGTTTAAGGCCTTATTCCTATTTATCTTGATGTTGTTGTTATAGATTCAGCTACTAAGAACAAGTTCCAAGTAGCACGGGCTATGGTGAGCCCGTAACTTACCTGGCACAGGAGCGGGGGCCAGTAGCACGGGCTATGGTGAACCCATAGAGGACTTACCTGGCACAGGAGCGGTGGTCGTTATTTTGATAATGAGGAGTGTTTAGAAACCTTTCTGTGTTTAGTGTGGTATTGGTGAATGTTTAAAGCTTCCTGTTTAACACTGGTGAGTGAGTGCTCCAGGAGACAGTAAGGCATAGTGGAACTCCTCAGTTATATTTGATTTTTGAACAAGTTTCAATGCACATCTAACCCCCCACCCCTATTCAATATGAGGGATTTATGTTTAAAAAATATATTAATACAGTACATTAATATTTAAATTGACTGATGTATCTCTGGTACAGTTTGTCTTTGAGTCTGAATGCCTTCAACCACTTCATGACCACTTTAGTCTAGGTTCGCTTGCTATTGCAGGCGAATGGTGTCCCGGGATGGTGTCTCTGGGACTCTGGGACACATACCGGCATATCCCTATTCATCCGGGGTTCAGAGACTAGTTAGCTTTTGTTTTAAGACATTGTGAATACTGCTTCAGGGTTCTTCACTTTGGCTTGAACTTCGCTCCCCCCTGCATGTTTACCAAGCTAGCATGGGGCATTGTGGCCCAGCTGGATTATGGGTTCGTGTGTTGGCCTACCTCGATGACTGGATGGTGTGGGCCCTCCAGTCAGTCCATGTGTCAGCGGGTCAGAGATGTGGTTCTCTCTCAGCTTGCTAGGACACAGGTTCCTGGTAAACTAGCAGACCTCACAGTTAGTGCGGTCTCATTTGAGTTTGTCTCTTTGGCTTTGCTCTTTCTGCAGTTTTGTTGGTGTTGGAGTGGCCCCAGGCAACTCCCTGGTTGGTCAAGTGGTTGTGTTAGTCATAATATTGTCTTTTCCCTGGGCAGGGTTTGGCTCCAGTGTTGTACCAATTTCTCCTTCCGCCGCTCCTGGGATCAGCCGGCTTGGACCCAACCTGCCCTTCATTGGTTCTTGGATTGCCAACTGCCCCTTCGGGTTTTTCAGGGTTCGGTTGTGTGGTGCCATCCTCCCTCATCACTTTTTTATTTTTTTCATCACAAACGTTTATTTTCAGGTTTGTGGGTTGGAGGCCTAATTATCTGCCACATTATTGTCATGTCTCTCTATGGTCCTTTCTAGTTCATTTATCTTCTCTGTTCCCTCATTTTCTATTTCTGTAATTGCCTCTTTCATTGTTACTTTTTCTTAATTTCATCCCTCATATATCCATCCCCATCCCTCCTCTCTTCAGCCTTTATCTCAATTTAACTTTTATCCCTTTTTTAACTTCTAATATCTTCTTGATTTCCTCCATGGAGCCTTCATTTATTTTACTCTCTTTTCTTCTAATTTCAATATAATTACCTAAGTGTAGTTACAGGATGAGAGCTACGCTCGTAGTGTCCTGTCTATCCAGCACTCTGTCATATAACGCTTTGAAGCTTCTGACGGTTTTGGCCTCCACCACCTTCTATGTGGGTGACGTGTGTGACATATGACATGTGTGTCATCCATGCTGTGTATTATGTATCCTGTATCCAATGAAATAGTTATAAAGCTCTAAATATCATATTTGTTCTAAAATCATTAATAACTGGACATACACTAATATTATGTTACATAGTGTGTCCTAGCTCATTTTCAGTTTACAATTTGAGTTCTCATTGTTGAGATAAATTACTAGCTACAGTTACATGCCCCCTTCCTCTCTCTTTTTCTCTTTTCTCTATATACTTCATACCTAATTAAGGAATGGAATTGAAGTGATGTTACTGTTTTATATTTTCAGGCTCTTCCACAAAGCATGAAGATTGAACCCATTGTGACACAGGAAAAAGACTATGGGTCAGAAATGGGCATGCTTCGTCGTGCCCCAGCCACATCAGTGGCGCATCCTCTCGAGGCATCTGAGCGATCATACCATAAGCGCCAAGATGAGCTGAGGATGACATCTGCTAATAGAGCTTTTGGGCTTGGTTTTGCTCTCCATCTTCGTCACGAAAGAGCTGCTGTGAGTTTTTTGTAGTCTTTTTAATTTACTGGATTTTAGATTTAAAAACTGTTCTCAGAAAATTTGAGCCAGTCTCAGAGCAAATCCATTACCACGAGCAGCCGACTGCCCCATTAAACCACCTGGATAGTTGTCTAGATATTTGTGATGGTCTGAAAGCATATTACGATTCCAGTAATAGCCTGCTTGTAAACTGGCAAGTGAAACTTTGCCCTAAACAGAGATTATGCTCAAGTTATATCTATAGTGTATTATAAATTGTTGGTTTAAAATATAGTGTATGCTAAAAATATTTTTTTTCCTAGAAACAGAAGAATTTCAAGTTCCATATTTCACATTTTGGAGAATATTTTACTCTACATGCATTAACATGACCAAACATAATGAAACCTAACCTAAGCAAACCTTCATTTTGCAGGCTGGCTGTCCTGCTATTGGTCATTTAGGCTTCCTGCCAAAATCTAATGCCCATATTCAGGCATTAACAGGTCGGGACTTGGACTTGGATTTCACGGATACCCTCGGCTTGGAGCCAGAACTAGCAAGTAATCCCCATTTATACATGGAGAAGATGCAGCAACAATCATTATTTGGTATATAAAAATGTTAAATAAGACTCGCTTATCGTGAAATACTGCTTTAAGAATTACTGGATAATGCAGAATTATCTAATATGAAGAACTGTAATGAATAAATTTGCATAACTTTTGCATTTCCATGAGATATAAGTGTGTTTTTTACTATGATTTCAAATGTTTAGTCATAGTTATATTTTTTGTCTTCTGTAATTTTTAAAGCTTCTTGTACTAACTGAAAAGGTAGAAAATAAATGACACAAAAAGAATTGTGTAAAATAATTCCTGTGTCTACCTGTACATCTGGTGCTATACCACAAGGAAATGGCAACATTAAAGTTCGAGCAGCTCTTCTAAATGTGCTGTCCTAGTCATTTCCTTTCCTTGTATAACCTTGGTGGTCAGCATGGGAAATTATCAAAAATTGCCAAGCCCAGGAGGATATACATCACATTCTATGTCACAGAACACAGTATTCAAAAGTGCCTAGATGTCATTCAGGAATGCCACTTAAGAGCAGAAAGAAAGACTAGTAATGTAAAAATTAGATTCACAGGATTTTAGCGAGATATGTATGATTCAAAGGTAATGGGAAAGCAAAATTACAAATGTTGAAAATCGGATAAAAAAAAAACTGCATGCTCTTAAAAAAATGCCTTCCTTCTACCCCTGTAATTGGTTAAGTTGCATATCGGGCACGCTCGCTTAACTCATAGTCATTTAGTGGAACAACATCCTGCTCCCTTTTGTCCAAACTGCATTGTGCCACTTACAGCTGTGAACCTTGTAGAATGCCCCAATTTTCAGGACATGTTTTTCAAATATCCCAGGAGATGTTTGTTCCTCGGTAGAATCCACGGTGAATCTGATATCTATGACATCGCTCGCCCTTTGTCCTACTGTTCTTGTAGTGGCATTGTGACATTTAGTACCATTTGGATATCAAGTGACACAGATGGTGCAATAGAGTCTTCCCTGCTTGGCACCTTGTTTTGATTATTACTCAAGTGTTATAATGTAGTTTTGATTGTAAAGTGCAGATCTCTGTTCCATTAAGTTTCTAGGAATTAGTGTGTGGTCAATACATAATCTAGCCAGAGATGCTTTCCACTTCCTGTTTTAGTGGTAGGACTTATTAGTGGTAACTAATAGTGGCTTATTAGCGGTAGTGGTAACTTATTACCATGGCCATTACCATGGCCATGGTAATAAGTTACATTTGATAGCACTGTGTACAGTTTGTTACAGTATTCATAATAGCTGATGATTTCTCTCCAACTGTTGCAATTGCATTATGAACAACTAAATTTGTTTTAGTAAGAATTGGCTTCTTGGAAATGGGAACGCATAAACAGCCTCTTCAGAAATGCAACGTCATTAGGTGCAACACTAATATGGTTGGAATCGAGAAAAACGTGACTTAAATCTGACAGCGATGAGGTAGAGTCAATGTTGGATCTTGATCACTTTAGTATTTGAAGGGTTAAAAGATTCCAGGGTCATAATTGCATTGTGAGTCTTGTTACAAAAGTAAGTGACCATTTACACTTGAAAAAATGTTACTTGCTAAGTAACTGTTGCTAAGCCCCAAAATCATCTCAAGATAACCTCAAGATAAGAAGGTGCATAATGGACTGATCGACATTAAATCTAGAACAGGACCACGAGAATACAGGGTGGTCACCACCACAGTTAATGCAGTGAACTTGTAAAATCGCACAAAACGATAAAATCCAAAAAGTGAGCAATAGATTGGGGCATTTCTGCAAGTTGATTCTCCACGGCCAAACTTCAAACATTGCACTTCTGTGGGGAGGGGGATTTATTCCTGGCCAGAACATTAGGCTCCAACCCTGGTCAACTGAGGTAGGGAAGCAGAGTGACTGTCGTAAGTAATTTTAGCAATATAGGCTATTACGTTTATCACAAGGTCGGCAGATGAACGTGTCCATCTGGACAATGAAATGCTCTCATATTTTTACAGTCATCTGGCACATTACCACTATCTTATGCTTCATGATAAATTCTCCACACCCATGCTATTAATTTTCTCCACTACTTTTTAATAATTATGCATTGAGAAAGAGGCGGGCAGAACACGAAGTAGGACTGCAATAATACAAGTTTTAGAAAACCATAAATATGAGCAAATAATGTTTCATTAAGGAGAAACCTATGACTGATAAAACAATTTAACAATATATTTAATAATTAAATATAACAATACTATAGTTTAAAAAAATGTTGAAACAATAACCATTATTAAAGACATTTCAGAAACAACATTTTATGAAATGTTTGTAAAATTGGTCAAAACACTGAATTTAGGTAGAACTAAAACAATAATATACATATTTTTTAGTTTAGTTTTCATTTTTTGTTGAAATAAAATGATTATTCACTTTGTGTACCAAACACCTTCCCATCCCAAAACACAATATCCTCCACCAAATAAAGCAGGTTTACATTGATCAGTTGAATCTTAGAGATCATGATTTTTTTATTAATAAAATGATTTGATACATACAAAACTAAAATATTTTTTTTAGCATCAGTACAATATTCAATACTGTAACACATCACACTTTACATTGGCAACAAAAATGTCAGTATAACCACACATATTATAAACATTCTTAGGAGTCTCAGTTCTCAATATACATCCGATATGTCTCAAAACATCACATTCACTTTTATGCCAATATTTTTTTTTTTCGTTTTCTTTTAACTAGCTGTCTTTTTTTGGTCATCAAAGGACTTAGGTAGTCATTTTTATCTTGATATATGTGGAATGATAATATATAATAATTACCAAGCCTATGATATACATACTATATTATAAATGATACAATAATTTTCAAAGATAATCAACAAGAGTATTTTTGTTAACTACATCTCAACATTCATTAGGTAAAGTTACATTTACCAATTACAACAAATATTTACATCCAATAATTAACTTCCTAGTGTTGGGGGACTATGCCTAAGTGGCCACAAAATCTGATCAGAATTCCATGTAAAAAAAAAAACCCAGAAAATGCCATTGTGTCAAGTTTTGCTCGATTCACTCTGGGAAGGTAAGGAAATTATCAGGAGACATTGCCAAGCCATTATGACAATATAGCACATGGAAAGGGGGGGGGGGGGGGGGCAGAATAACAATTTGGGATGGGATCGAATGCCAACCTACATGAAGCAAGACCGTCGCTCTACCAAGTGGTTGGGCGAGTCACTTTGGGAGATGGCTTCAGATGAGCCAAAATTATAATGGGGTCAAGAATTTTGCTCAGTCAGGATATCCAGTAATTTTATCATATAATTTGAGTGCTAGTTAACAAATATGTATATATACATACTTTTTTAATTGAAGGATTAAAAGGGTCATTCTACTGAAGAATTGGCTATATGCAAAAACTAATAATGATTTGACCACAAATAAAGTTGTTGTTGTTAAAGATTCACTACCCGGAACAAAAAGTTCCAAGTAGCATGGGCTATGGTGAGCCCGTATTTTTTTTTTTTTACAAATAAAGTGCACTAAGGAATGGCAGCATAAAAAAAGCCTTGATGTCATTACATACACCAGGCCACAGAAAAGATGAATATTTATTCAACAGTTTTGAAACCAAGATGAGTGTAAACACTGGATAAAGTAAGGAAAAACCATGTTCAGTGCAACCTCCAAAAATCCAGACTAATTACCGTAATTCAAGACCTGGTCTGGATTTTTTTATTTGTTATTTTGTATTGCGGGGGATGGGAGGGGGGGGGGGATTACCAAACTTGGGAGTTTTTGTATAGTAAATAATAAACATTTGCAAATTGATACAATATATAAATTATTTTTATTATACTAATAATGCAAACATGATCAAGTTTGACTTTACTTTATCTACCCTCCTTGTTCTGGCAATATGAGTGGAGTACATTACTGCGTTGGACTTACTAGACACAGTGTACTGTACATGCCAACACTAAGCTCCTTTGTCTACATCCTCATTTCCCACCCACAATCACTTAGTAAAAGTAAAAAATACTGAAAATGCAACACTAAAAACTACTATGCCAAGTTGGTTCCCTTTTTCAGCAATTGTTTTTGTAAACCCATGAATTTTTTTTATTTCAAAAGCTATTCCATTAGCAAAATCTTTACACTATTTAGAGGTTGCACCGTTCCGTACAGTAATCACACAATACAGTACGCAATTAATGCAAAACTGGCCCCGACAAGAAAAATAAATAAAATTAAAAATGGAGATGAAGTATCTTTCCACTTTTCAACTTTAATTTCTAGAGGTAACTGCATTACAGGTTATCAAAAATTATATATACACATTATTGAGATAACTGATGTACAGTATTATGCAAACTGCTACAATTAGGCTTTCAAGCATCTTAGGTAATGCAAGAGTAGTTTCAAAATAATGCTCCCATACTTAAAACCTGGATAAAAGATAAATGTAAAGGATTTCCACCATTCTCCAATGCTGGTGCCTGGAAGACACAGTAAAATTGCTTATAACTATAAGAATAAACATACAGTATACTAATTATTTTAGAAATTCCTTAACACTTTTAATGAAATATTTCATATTACAGTACAGGTACAATAACATTTAGCTTTATGAGTATGAGGGTGTGGTAACTCCACCGCCCACCATTCGCTGGTGCAAATGGCCCCCTCCTGGGAGCCGGTCTGCCGAGCGGACAGCACACTGGACTTGTGATCCTGTGGTCCTGGGTTCGATCCCAGGTACCGGTGAGAAACAATGGGCAGAGTTTTCTTTCACCCTATGCCCCTGTTACCTGGCAGTAAAATAGGTACCTGGGTGTTAGTCAGCTGTCACGGGCTGTTTTCTGGGGGTGGAGGCCTGGTCCAGGACTGGGCCGCGGGGACACTAAAAAGCCCCGAAATCATCTCAAGATAACCTCAAGATGTTCCATGATAAAGGGAAATGGGAGGAAACTGGGTTAGGACCCATCTTCCCACAGACCAAATTCGTCCTCGCCCCATGAAAGTGGGCTAACACGAACATGATTAAGTGTAAAGTTATCCAGTACTAGTTGATTCAAACAAAATGAATTACCATAAACAAAATACAGTATTAACATGAACTTCTGAGTGCTTAGATAAAATATCTAAAATTGTATATATTAACCTATGTTATTCTACCAGGTTCATCACTCAGTGATGAAAATGAACTTTTAATAAGTAAATCAGACTATATCACTATGTGGATTTATTTTTAATATTTGGGGTACAGAACAATAAATTTTTGTAATAAATGCACTTAAGCTTGTGCAGGCTAGTAATGAAGGATGTAGAACTCCTCTAAATGCTGGTGCTTACTCTGGACACGCATTTTAATACTGCTTCAAGTTTAAATATCACACTGTCAACAACAAGGTGTCCAGAATTAAGATAGGAAAATTATGGATACAAGAGATATTATCATGAGGGTATAACTGTGGCAAATTTTCGAGAACGTAAAAAGGATTAAATAGACAAAAAATCTTGTGTATCAATACTGAGCTGTCGAATGATTCTCAAACTAAAGAATGAGACAAATAGGTACAGTACAAAATTTTGTTTACATCAGCATGTATTAGTGAAAATATAGCAGTTACTCTTAAAAAAAAAAATGAAGCAGACACTTCATAGTTCAGTACAGTACAGCACTTAAATTATATAATGAATATAAAATTATCATTATAAAATGAAAATGCCATTTCGTAAAGTGTACAGTACAGCCAACAACCCACAGTTTGACCACCATCCACTTGAACATGCTGGTTAGTATTTGTTTTCCACCTGCACTGCTCCTCAGTGGCAAGGGGGGCCATGCTGTTCAGTCTAGCTGACACAGCTTTGTTTTTGTCATGTTCACAGACATTAAAGGTTGTTTTTGTTATTTCACTGAAAACATTGAACATTCCTCCACAATGCCAGCTCAAAATACTGAAAAATCAGTCCATGAAGTGGAGAGTGACGTCTGTAAAAGTTGCGAGAGCCAAATATGCAGTGAACAGGACAACTTATTTTGTTTTTTCTATTATGTTTAAAATGAATTTGATAAAGCAATTCAGCAGGAGAGAGCAGTTAAGTCAGGCTGAAGTAAAGATTGTCGATACTGCTGTGTAAATGCCAGGATAACAGCTCATGGAGAAGGCAAAGAATTTATATACTGTACTGTATGAAAATTAACATTACTGAGCAGTGTTTGTATGGTGACGGGTGGCTAAGGCACTTTTAGTTACCATGGTATTAAGCATTTAAAAGTATGCAGAGAGGGAATCAGTTGATGGAACCTTAGTGTCTCAGGCCAACTCCTTTATACAAATCTCAAATTCACCATAGTACATCACAACAACCAATTATCCAAAAAAATAACACCGGACATCATTCCAAGATGATGGACCAACATCGCAACTCTTGACGAATTCTCTATTATTTTTAGTACTGTACTGTGATCCAAAATATTTGTTTAACAAAGTAACCCAATTATTCTGTGACAGGAAAGATTAGCCCCTAATCCGATCATAATATACCGTTTGACTACTTTCAGTTCCAAGTGGTCAGACTGTGGGTTGGTGCCTATGTATCGATGCCTTTGCTTAAATTTTTGTGCGGGATGGGTTGAGGGATGGGGGGGGGGGGATATTTAGAATATTCTACACTAATATATGACTATTAAATAGTTTAGGGCTTAAGAAAGCACTTTCTGTGTATTTATAAATTGGTTAAGCCATCTATTGCCTTACTTTCAGGTTCTTTCCAAAATATTGTTAAATAAAAAATAACAATGTGCTCCCCTTCCTAATAACTACATCGATGGAAAGTTTTTTTTTTGTATGAAATGGATATATGCAGGCGTTTGTACAGTATAAAATTATCTACCAGTTCACATGATAATGATTATCACTACTTAAATACAAGTCCACAACATTGTGAACCAAAACATAAAAATATGTTTTGCAAGGAATTTAACCCTCGCCCAGCAGAAAATGAGTTAGGCACGCTATCCACCATGCCACATGTATCATGAAAGAGGTGAAACTTTGCAGCCTCATCTGCAACCCTTACAAGGTTCTGTAGCAGGTCATCTGGCCAAAAATTTATTTTTTATTTGCCTCCAGAAGGTACATAAAATTTATGTATTTCAATATCACTACTTCAAGCAGAACTATATCAAATTAAAAAAAAAAAAGTTATTTATATTCAACCTGAATGCTTGCCCTGAATTTTATAGAACCTCTGGAAATATACAGCAGATTAATATCAGAAAATTCAACAAAAAAATTTCTGACTCAGAAGGCACGTTCTTCCATAAACACAATTTATCTAAGGCCATTATGTAAAGAATAATAGCCACTAAAGGTGGGAAAAATTATTTATAACAGGAAGTCATGAAAATAAGCTCACTACACTCCCGGTCAAACGAATTAAATTCATACCAAACCCCACCTGACAAATTCCACTGTATCTTGTGAATGCTTAAATTCAGCCTTTCTTAAATAAATTGATGTTTTTTGTTTCACAGGTACCAACAAAAAATCTATTAATATTTTAACACAAATCACAAAGAAATATTGTCATACAGCTGTATAAACAAAAGTAAATATAGTACTACTATATGTATGAAAATATATATTACTTACTTTTGCAGTGAAAGTCATTTGCCTTGTTACACTAGAATGATGTGTCCCTGTATAGTGCAACCTCACTTGAACAGATCGAAACCCATGTTGAACCAGAAAAAAAAAATTCTAACAACCCCAAAAATAAACCCATATTTCAGATTTTTCAAAGATTTTGCCATATTCTTGTCTGTGGCAGTAAATAATAATAATAATAATTATAATAATAATTTTTTATTTTTTACAATTTCTTTACATAATTTGTATTAAATGCAATAGCGTTTATGAGACTTTCTGTGGTGGATGTAACTGAACATGCCCTGGCTAGGTGCTTTTTGCTTTTGTGATTGTGTGGCAAGGCTTCTCAGTCCTCAATGATTTTGAACCAATTTTTCTTTGGCCATTTTATTATTTGTGAATTGAAAATATGTCTACCGGCAACATACATTAGTCTAAAACAGGATGGGGATGAAAAAGTACCTTTACACGGAAAAAAGAAGAAAGAGTAAACAGATTGAGAAATGTGAGCATGCTTGGTGAGAACATCTGGTGATGTTTCAAAGTGAAAAATTGCCAAGAAATACAAAAATAAATGGTTTATGCAGTAGCATAGTGTGGCACTTTTGTTGTTCGTTTTGAATTGACTATACACCCTCATTCCTACCACTGAGATTAAGGAAGAAAAATAAGCACTTCTCAATGGTAAATGAAGAATATATACTATAATAGTTTTCCATTTTTTTTCCATTTTCTTCCCTACTTTATCTTCATGTACAGTATATTTAAAATTCATATGTAAAGACATTTGGGATAAGGGAAAACAAACCCATTGCAATGGTGAAAAATGGCAAAACTCTCAATGGACCGAAATCTTTGGTAAAATTAAATAGGTCCAGTCGCAATCACTCCATTTAAGTGATAGGCCACTGCATTATTTTGCAAAAGTGTATTGTAAAGTGTAGGCCGTCAATGAATTTGCCTACACTTTACAGTCAAATTAGCAAAAATCTTTAAGAAGATGCTGGTACCAATACTGTACTCCATCACATTATGACCACCCAAGCTTCACTGATAACCTCTTTCTTTTCTTTCTACCTCATACAGCTTTATTAATACTGCTGCTCGGTATTATTCTTACACCAAATTAGAACAATTAAATAAATAAAAGGTGAAAATCTCCAGATGAGGCCAGATAATTGCAACGCAAAATCACACGAGGAAAAAGAGCACTGGGCAGGTACAGTGGCTACGCGTAAACATGACTGGGTCCAATAGGTAAGTTTCCGTAAATATAGACAGATCAAATTAAACATACATCACACAGTACATTACTGTTGTTAATTTCAAACAATTGTTAAATTATTGTGCATTAATGTTTTTTTTGAGATATTTATTTGTACAGCAGTATAATTTATTTTTGGTGTGCATTAGCTGCATTATAGTCCATAAACGTGTATCACAATGAGTACCGTTACAAAAAAGACACCTGCCGGACTGACAAGAGGTTTGGTGAGAATGTCCTGTGGGACTATGGGGGGAACCAGTCTTTTGTAACCTTAGTCAAAGCCTTCACTGCAATTAGTATAACAAAGGCTTGCATTATGTTTGGTCGAGAGTGCAGTGTACAAGTATTAACCTTCTTTGTGTTGCATTATTTGCAAGGTTTACAAAAACATACAATATCAAATATATATAAAAAAATATGTTGCTTAAATTAGTAAACTAGAGTGCAATGCTTCTCTTGTGCATCAGTCAGGATGACTAAATAAACATTTAATATCACAAACAATATCCACTACCTATGGCATCTAACAAAACAATATAATGCATATATTAAATTTCCTAAATTAGTAAACTAAACAGTATGTATATATAAATATATACTGTATATGTATTTATTATTTATTTATATATACACATATATCTCCTATATTTAAGCATTTACAATTGGACCTAATTTCAATAAATATTACCTTAAAATATTAATGTTTAACCTTAAGAAGACGTTGTGGCATCTCCAGTCCGCATCAGCTCCAACATACAGCCAACAGCACCAAAATAACCCTGCAGACAAAGTCACAATTAATAGCATTATAATACTGTACTAGCTCTTATCTATAAATCCAACAAAATTTTTGTACCTCATTTTCAATGTATGTACCTTACCTGACTAATCATCTTATCTTGTGCAAAAACAGTGTATCGGAATTCACTCAGTATATGCCACTATTACTTTGAAGAGTATGTTCAGCAAAAAAGGAATAGGTTCAAGATATTCATTTAATTTGGAATATAAATAACCAACATAAAAAATTAATGGATGTATATACAGTAATGAAAGGAAACTGTGTACAGTATAAGGACAGACTGTTGTATAATGGAAGGCAGCTGTATACAGTATAAAGACAGACTTTTGTACAGTATAATGAAAGGAAGCTGTATAGTGAATGACAGCTGTATGAAGTGTAAGGAGAGAGCTTTGTATAAGTAAAGGCAGCTGTATACGCTATAAGGATACATTTTTGTACAGTACTGTATAATGTGAAAGGCAGTTCCATACAGTACAAAAACAGACCTTTGTATAATGAAATACAGCTGTATACAGTATAAAGACAGACTGCTGTATACAGTACATATATGGACAGACTTTTGTACAGTATAATAAAAGGCAGTTGTATACAATGTATGTGCAAATTTGTATAATTAAAGACACCTGTATGCATTATAAGGGCAGACCTTTGTATAATAATGGTATATTTATACCCTTTGTATAAGGGGTCCCTGTAGTACAGTCAAGTTCGTTCTCAACTCAGAATAGAGAATTCCGGGTTTTAATACCAGGCGGGACAGATGCTTTTCATTGGATGCGTTTCCTATCACCTAATGCCCGTGTCCACCTAGCAGTAAATAGGTACCCAGGAAAGTCAGCTTGTTGTGGAGTTGCATCCTGGGGAGGGTCAGTAATTTGACCCCGGGAGAAACCTCGATATAAGCCTAACATGTACTGTATGTATAAACTGGCTGCATGACCACAGACACAATGAATTATAATGAGAAGTTGAGTGGATAGTTGAGTGGAGGTTGAGTGAATACAGGGAGGTGGTAGGTGGAAATGCTGCAAAGGTCAAAGTAAATAACATTTAACAATTATATACGAGTTGTAATTGCAGCGGAATACACAGTAAAACTTACCTCATGTTCTAAAAATATAGCTTTCAGCTGTCCACCAGACCAAAATTCCATGGCGTGAGACAGCAATTTCATAGAGATGGGGTTTACACGCAGGAAATTACCTACAAACAACACCTGTAATGCAAAAGTAAAAAGTGTAAAGACTTTACTGCATGTGCAACACATAGTTACAGATATGGCTTATCATTAATTTGTCATCATTACCACATTTTCCACCTTCGTGTGGTGGGGAGGCATCACCCCAGTGAATGACATTAAGGCACAGAGGACTGAAATGCTCTTCTCTGAGCAGGTTCTTGGTTGCCCCCAGAGCCAGGGTCCATCCAGGACACCACTCACACACCTGGCTATGGTTGATTTTTAGTCCCATCATAAAAGACTTTACACAAATAGTCTTACTACATAGTTCGGGGAAGACAGTGATGAGTTTGTTTCAATCCACCACTGAAAGAGACTGCTCATCATGACAAAGAGCAGAGCAAACCTCTTGACAATTCTTCCAAGCACTAATTGTCAACAGAAAGATAGCCAATTATTTTTCTGCAGACTGCAGAGAAAGCTAACAGTTACCCAACTGCCACCAGGTGGCAATCAGGCTGTCATTACAGGGCCAGAGAAGCTGGAAACCCACACTTAAAGCCTATGATACTTGAGAATCAAAACCAGTTGACAGATAATGGCTGGGAAACATGCAGAAAGATCTTAGCATGAGTAAAAATGTTTATTTTAAGCTATAGTGATATATAGCTTAAACTTTGATTTTAAAATAAGAGAAATTTGACTTTGATTTTAAATAAAGTACTGTATATGCATAACTTTAAGTGGTAACAATGAAAGCTACCAAGTTTAATTCATCCATCAAATATAAGAAAACTATTGGCACTAGTGAGTTTCAGATTAACATTCATTCAAAGACAGAGTGGTGACAATACTATTTCCTTTCTTGAGGCGGCTCAATGAGTCAAAGACATTGATAGAATGTCCCTTAACTATAACTAACCAACAAGTAAAATTTTTTCAATGTGCCAGATATTGCAGCTACATAAAGTAAAGTATACTCATTCAAGTCTATACAGTACCTTATTGATATTACAAAACCATTAATCTAAATTTACAGTATTCCATCACTTAGTTTTACTATAAAAGCAGATCAGAAAATTGTGATCTACCTAATGTTTTATCTTGCGTAAAACTAAAAAAAAAAAGAAAGACAAATGATAAAATAAATTTTGAATTAACACCAAAATGTTTCTAAAATATTATGTACTGGTATTACCAAGGAAGTGTCACTAATCATTAAATTTACTAAGATATGCACATAATGCTGAACATGTAGTGCTTTGTGTTCTTTCACATACCTTTTCAATTTTTTCGTTAGCTGCAACCATTCGAGCTATTGAGCCAATGTTGTTTGTGATTGTAATTAATGTTGCACATGCAAGATCTTCACGTGACACTTTTGCTCTTTTCTCAGCACTGTTCATATTACCAAAACTGAAAAAGAAAATATTGAAATTAATTATATTATTTTTAATTTTATTAACTACAGGTACATACAGTATGTTCTTTTTTAGTTCACTCGAGACTAGTATTCTAGGTTGGTATATCTTAGGATATTAAATTAGGTGGTATAATGAGTACACTAGAGGAATATATTAAAATTAGACTAGTGTAATGAACACGGCCTTCTGTATCAAATAGTGGCAGGTGCCTGTGCCTATGTATCGGTGACAACTGAGGAGTGAGATCTAACTCTTTATTTTGCTTATTAGCCTTTTGGACTATGTGCATTTTATATCGCTTGATGTTCAAGTTCTGTGTCATATCATTTCTTAATGTTGTGGATAGACATGGTTCCAACATCTTTTAAAGCATTTTACTTGCTGATACAGGGGACAAGAATTTTCTTTAATTTCTATGATCCAATTGCATTTCCAGCTTCCACCGATTTACTATTGTCGTATTTTTTCTCAATTTAAAGATGCTGTCCTTGATCATCTTATCTATTCCCCTCAGTATCTTTTATGTAGCGATTATATCCTCTCTGCTCCTCCTCTTCTCTAGGGATGCAAGACCAAGTTTCTTTAATCTGTCCTTGTGGCTTAGCCATCTCAATTCTGGTACTGGTCTTGTTCCAAGCTTCTTGTCCTCCTTTACTTCACCTCTCTCTCCCTCAGTCTGTATCTTCCTCTTACTCTATCCTATTTATATCTGCGAGTACTGAGCACAACAAGTGTAACGAGGGGTTACAATAAGTACTGGGTGTTTATAGTATTGGGTTGGAATGATTTTAGAGGGGTTATCTTGAGGTTATCTTGGTGATTCCGGGGCTCAGCATCCCCATGGCCCAGTCCTCGACCAAGCCTCCTTTTTGTTTCATACCCTCGGGAAGCAGCCTGTAGCAGCTGTCTAACTCCCAGGTACCTATTTACTGCTAGATAACAGGGGCATCAGGGTAAAAGAAACTTTACCCATTTGTTTCCGCCTCCACCAGAAATCAAACCCATAACCTCGGGACTACGAATCTGAAGTACTGTCCACTCTCGCCTGTCAGGACCCTCTATTTTGGGGTGGGAGGTGTAATATGTACCTATACTAAAACACTACATAAATATTTGATTTGATATTTTTCTTTGGATAATCTGAAGGGCAGGTCAAATATTTTCATTACAGTAATTTGGCCACCTGTTAAATTTATTATTTACCTGTCATTTTTGACAGGAGACAATTTTGAATGTTACACAAAATTGCTGCAGTTCTCTAATGCTAGGACATACTGTATTCATTACTGTATATCAATTTTATTAATATACAGTATCTTTAAATATGTAAATAATATTGTAATTAGTTTTTACAAATTTACATTCAAGTTAGCGTATAAAAAAATTGAATACCTTACCTGCTGGCCACAATATCTCCGCTCAGCCCAAATCTGTCATAGTCACCACCGTATATGTCTCTCACTAATTTATCAACATTTTCATTATTTCCCCTGGCTGCTAGTTCAATAGCTTCTTCAAATGTTTTGCATCCTGTTAAAAGACAGGATAGACCCAGGAATGTGCCACCACCTAAACTGGTCCCCGAGACTCTTCTGTAATGGTCTGGACTATAAGCTGCCAATATGCTTACTCCAGAACCAATATTCACCACCTGTGAGATGGAAATACAGTTCATGATTTAGAATGCAAGAGAAAACAAAAATCATAAGTATGAATAATTCACAGGAAAATAATTCCAAAAGGTAAACTAGATGACATTGAAGCCCAAATTAATCTGTTGACCAAACCACAATCGACTTGAGAATGGTCCAGGACGGACCGAAACGTTGTCGTCTCTTCACTTTCTAGTCTGTGGTTTGGTCAACATATTTCAGCCACGTTATTGCGACTCTTCGTCCCCAAATTAATCTCTTATTAAAGGAATCTTGTACAACCACAATCACTTGCCAGAAAGGGGTATGGATCACTGAAGTCAAATGTGACCTTCTCGCACGTTTCTTCATTTCGGGGATTTAGAAAATAATAACACTCTCTATCCATATTGTTGTCTTCTATATATTCTATGCCACGAATCAGACAGTCAAGTTCATCAAATTTGTGCAGAGTCAGGTTCACCTCCTGTAAATAGTTCAAAAGCAAAAGTTAGAATGATTCAGGGTTGTTTAAGTTCATTACCTTTCATATCTACTCTAAAATATTGAAACTTATTCACTATCAATTAAGTAGAAAACTTCCAGGGCAATATTAAACACAATGTAGCCTCACTTAAGGACATTTTTGTCCTCAGCCTCATCAAATTATTATATTGTAAACACGCAATTATATAAAAGTCTGTCTGAAAAGTTGTCGAGTTAAGCTTGCAACTGCTTGCAGGCTCACTCAACACTCACAGAAACACTCCTAACTCAACTGTGGATGCCTCAAACTCATCAAAATCCATTTTGATGAGTTTGGATTTTATGGTGGATCTGCATATTTGCAGATGGAGGCCATCTGCACATTTGCAGATGGCCTCATAAATATCCAGCTGTGTCCAGGTATAAGGTAAATAACAGCACAGTGTATAATTTTGAGTACCGTAGTACAGTATACTTTTCAGATGAGTTGCATATTACTCTTCATTCTCACTTCACTTGCAACTTTTTTCTCTCTTCAACTCACTTGGTATACAGCATTATTTTCTGTTTATTGTTACTTTTGAGAATTTACTGAAGTGATTAACTTGGGCCAAATTAGGATAACCAAATTATATAGGTGTTGTACACTGATACCAAAGTTCTTGAGAAAACTCATAACTATGGGAATAGAAATAAACCTTAGTGACAATGACTAGAAAAGGCTGTAATAATATGCTCATTTTTTTTTTTTTGGTAGATGACAAAGTTGTAAAGAATCACAATATTTCAATGCATTAAGCATGTTAATGTTAAAATTGATTGCAAATGTTGAAAGTAGTTGGGCCTGCAGGAAAGAAATAATCCTATTAAAATATTAAATACTGTACTTTAAGTTAAGAATTTGGTTTTGAACGAGCTTGATGACCTTATGTTAGAAGCGGCAAGCACTGATATTTATATTATTAAAGTAATTCATGCATATGGTTGAAAAATAGCAAAGCAGAGGTTAAGAGTAGAGCAAACCAAGCAAGGCCATGAGAAAAACTTTAAGAGAACCTTTTGTGAAGGGAAAGCAGTTCAGTATGGAAGAAAAAAGAGGACTACCTAAAACTGTTCAAAACTTTCATTATTGATATGAAACTACTGCCTAATATCTACACTCTGTAGATCATTTTTGATCTACAGAATGAAAACATGAACCAGCAAGACGAATTTGATAGCTCAATTAATATTTATACTAAAGAGAATAGAGTGGAAATAAATCGCGCGTCACGAGAAGTGTATCATCATAAAGTTACACTGGCTGCCAAAACACTGTTGTGATAACACAATTACTGAGGGATTCGTGAAGACATGTCTTACTCTGTCTACGGTTTTGTTACACTCTTCATGTAGCTGCTCTACTATGCATGCAAAATGAGTATAAAGCACTAGTTAACGTATTAGCATCTTTGTACATTTTTGTTATGCTCTCTGTCAACTGGGGGTTGGACGTGTTTATTTGTGCAACGTTATATGATGTATTGATTCCTTTATACATTCACATACTCAAGCATAGAAGCTCAAGTAATATCCATTTTATCTACTCTATTTACTGCTAATCTTAAGATACAGCCAGAAGTCTCCTGAGATAGTTTATGCTTTCCACAGTTTTGATATTTTTTACCCCAGAAAAGCTCTCCTTCCTTGAGGGGTAATGGCCTCAAATTCCCTCCAAGATAGTTTAATCTAAACATAAAAGATACTTCAAAAGAGCTTAAAGTATTTAGTATATTTAATCTTCCCAATATTTTAATGGTAATACAGTACAATACATTTATCTCTGTACTACTACATGGAGGAGAAATTATTAAATCACTCTAAACATTTTATAAAAAATCCAAAAGTTACATTTTTTTGTATAAAAGAATGCATACTTGATCTGGCAGCCAAGCTTCCATGGCAATATTTGATCAGATTTGAAAGAAAATATTCTGCAATTAAAATTTGCTCACCTTGCTAGATGATTGATAATCTTACAACAGTTCTCCCATATTTATCCATTTTTTAAGATACATTAAAATACTGAAGAAAATATCCAGTTAAATTATAGTAATTAATATGTATGTTTACCTTTCATTTATGTAAATGCCCAAATTAAATCATAGAAGTAAAATTAATCTGTGGATGGATAATAACTAAGCTACTGAACACTGTATAAAGAAGCAAGGAAATTTATAGATGAACAGAAAAGGAGCACGGGGAAAGGAAGATGGGAGAAAACAGGGAAAAGGAACAGGAGTACATTGCTAGAACTGATAACATAAAATTTTCTGAGGGAGCCTTTGGTGGCTTCCTGAAGCTCTCTCACTGAGATAGCTGTTGAATCACATGTTATGTGATTCACCTCGCATAACTCTCTCACCATTGAATCACATCAGTTATGTGATTCACCTCACATGACACTCTCACCATTGAATCACATCAGTTATGTGATTCACCTCACATGACTCTCACCGTTGAATCACATCAGTTATGTTAAGTCATGTTTGGCCTACCAGAACCAGAACCTGGCCTCTTCACAGAGGCACCAAGAGCTGGAGGACTGTTACGATCACCCGCACCAAGAAAGTATCCAAAAACTGAGGCAAAAAGTCACTGGATCAGTAAGTTAATCATACCCAGCACTGTCAATGTGGAATCTCAGTCCATCAGGCAAAGCTGAAGGCTGAACCTAGATAAGCCAGCTGTTGAGATAGGCTAAACCATTAACAACCTAGTAATGAAGTTCCTGGAGAACCACTGAGTATATCTAAGACTAAGAGTGCTCAGCACAAACTAGCTGCAAAGGAGAGCACCAAAAAATTGAAAATCTAGTGGGAACCTCAGGAAGAGGAAGCCGGTGATGAGGAATGAACCAAACCAGAACAGAGACGGAAACTGGGTTACAGGCTGATTAAGTAATGATACACACAGAAGAAACATTTCTATTTAGTTTATGTACTGCCAAAGCAAGTAAAAAGATGAGTCCACTACATAGTGAAAACAGTTTCTAAGAATTATAACAAGTCACTTAAGTGAATCTCAAGGCTGCTATATGTATATGTATCAACCAGGAAGAATGTGATTTGACTAAGGCAAGAGAGCAAATGTTGGTGTGGGTGCTGTCATCTGATTACAGTTTGGGGGTTTATAGGCAGTTTGCGAGCCTTGTACTTTATGGCCCTTGTGATGCTAAGTTGGGCTTGGAAAGGATATAAGTGCTTATGAGTAAACCTTAGTGGTTACTCTGAGTTTTTCTTCAGTATCTCCTTAGCTCCAGTGTGACTTGACAGGGGTATTTAAAAGATTATTTTTGTGCTAGTGATGAATGTCACAATGCACTGATTGTCATGATCCAATCCATTGGGACCTGAATGGAGCTTGCGTAATGGAGCATCTGAGTGGAATAGTTCCAAAAAAACACACAGCAAAAATACAAAGGAAGTTTTAAAACATTTATATCTCAACACGCATCTAAGGCTATTAATCTTCCTCATACATTAAACACTAAAGAAAATACAAGTAAGAAAAAAATAGGAAAGACTGATGATTATTTCAAGGAAATCATAGTACTTATAAAACCAGACTTCTTGAGAATGTAGCATGCAATCTGAAATGTGCACCAATCCCTCCCAAAGTGGGCCTAAAAATTATACTATCAGTTGAAATTAGATTATGACTTATCTCTCTGACGGCTGCCCAGAACAGCCAACGAAGACTGATTAGTATGCAAGATAAATGCTTCAAAGCTGTTTAATTATCTGACTGGTAATCTCAACCTTTTAGTCACTGTCAGATAAGCACTGTATAATGGAAGAAATGTATCCACAGAGTATACACACAGACAATATCACCTCCTGTAGCCAATATTTGACCTCTATTTTACCCTCAAACTTTTATATACGAGCTTGGCTCATACTTGTGACATATGTTTTCTTTTATACATGTATGAAGAATCACCAGCTTACTTTCCATTGTTTATAAACTATGGAAAGGACAGAGAAAAGTGCCATTTGACAACTATGTGATTTTGTCTTTTAATGATGATAAATGTGTATGTAAGTTTTACCTAATGCAATTATATTGTGATTCAAAATGAGTGAGAAGAAATACCAGTGTAATACACAAATGAATCTATGAAAGGACAGATGGAAAATGCAATTCGTTATAGAGCAGCCAAATTTTTAGAAGAGACAATGTTTTTGTCTGTACTGTATATGCTGTTTTCACTACACATTAATCCTTTGGTTTGTTTACTTTACGTACTCCTTTTCCTCTCTATTCTTTTAGATAACTTGACTTAGCACAGTTTTCTTCTAAATTTTAATAGCACAAATCCTATAATCAAATAGTTCAATAATAATAAAAGAAGAAAGTAAGAGCACACCCCCAGCTGTAAACAAGGGCCACCACCGTGCAGTAGGATTAAACACCTCCACCTTGAGGGTTACCCAGGACTGTCTCTACCCACATAAAGGGATTGTCCAGCAGCTGGGGGGCAGGAGGGGCCACACCAGACATTAATACCCACGCGATGAAATTCTTCCTCAAATTTGTAGGCGCCACCTCCTGTAGCACAGATGGTGGATGCAAGGCTGGCCATACCCTTACTCTTGGACAACTCAAGGAATTGTGGCATCTCTGATGTGGGGAAGCGTATAAAGTGGAGTGTGCCTGTTCGATTTCCAACGCACACTTTTTCCATCTGTAAATTAAAATAAGTTTTTGTCAATATGAAAGGCTCCTTCATGAGCAGAATCATTCAATTATTGAACTTCATAAGTTAAGGTCTGCTGTGTTACATATCCAGGATTATGTAGTCAGGCAGGACATCATACCGGCAACAGTGCCACAAACTCGTAATCCCTACAAGTCATTAAAGATGCTCACTGGGATAAATACTTAATCTAGCCCTGAATGACTATCAGACAGTACAATTCTCTACAATTAAAAACCTCTGCCATGCAGTATTGCAGAGACCAATAAATACTGTTCTGCTACTTCTTACTACAGTATCAAGTTGACCACCTGGTTGTCACCGTCACCACCTGTAAGTCCACTACGGGCTCACCATAGTCTGTGCTACTTGGAACTTATGTTCCATAAGTAGCACAGACTACTGTACTTTTGTTCCAAGTACAGTAGCTGAATCCAAAACAACAACAACAACAACCTGTAGTGAGGTGGAAGTACCAATTACATACACAAAGACTACCTGAAATCTTACCATTACCAATTTTCTGAAAGGAGAAAGAAGAGAGATCTTGGGCAAAGTTAAGAAGCAGCAGCTTTGCCAGAAAAGCTCCATAAGGAATGATTGTATTGAGCAGAGGCTGCTTCTCACAAAATAATACAATAAAATACATAACAAGATAAACAGTAACAGAGGAAGAATGGAAGACCATCATATGCTGTATAGTTGGAGCACTTACCAGGCCACCTCAAATTACTGTCTAGACAGGACACAAAGTTGTTGAACAGGATCCCTACCACCTGCTCCCCACAAAGAAAATGGCTGATCTGACTTAGAAAATAAAGATGCAGTAATCTGTAGAAAGCTTGAAAGAGCTGGGCAGTGCTTCCATTTTTTGCATATACAAATACAGACATGAGAGGCCTGCTCTCAACGAAACCTTTAAAATACTTAACAATTACGAGAATGTTGATTCTAACTTTTTTAAAACGTCAAATGTAACACATACAAGGAGGAATGGTTTCAAGCTTAACAAGCCACAATGTAGAAGAGATAACAGAGAATACTTTTTCACCCATAGGGTTGTAAACACAAGAAACCACCTACCCTCCAAAGCCGTAAATGCGAAGACAATACGGCAATTCAAAATCCAGCATGAGAAAATCATCATGAAAAATGAGAGGCCTTTGACAAGCTACCAGCTTCCTATCCCTGTCAAGGCCGCTAAAGAAATGGCAACCCTCGGATAAATTCAGGTAAATATGTTATTCGATAAATTACTGTCACATTATCAGATGAGAAAAATGCATTTTTCAAATTTCAGGTACTGTAAGAAATCCAGAAAACCGGAGATTTTGATAGATAACCGAGAATGGCATCAGGCCATACTGTGTTACTTCCATACAGCAGTGGCTCAAAGTGTGAGATATGGGAGGTGTTGGGGGTAGAGGGTGTCAGGGAATAGGGAATAGTCAGGAGGGACTGTCCGGGGAATGAGAGGCATGTGGAGGGGGCCTATGATTACTGTATAACTAAAAATTATATTAAAAGAATTCATTACAGAAGAAAATAAAGATCTATTATCTAATATTACTGTATAAGAAATAAAAATGTCTTAAAAGCTGTGCGTACAGGCTGAAGAGTGTAGTTCCCCGCTAAAATCAGGGGATTTATTTCTCGTCTGGTGGCTACATAATGTGCCCTATTTAAACCCGTCCAGGCCCAGCCAATCTAAACAAGCCATGTGCTCTCTCCCATTGTGTTATACCACAATGTCACACCATTAGTGAACAAATTTCTTGCATAAAAATAAATAAATAAATAAATAAACATGTTATATAAGTGGGTATTCGATCACTGTTTTTGAAAATGTGTAGATAAATACAATTATTCAACACAAAACAATACATAATGTAAATTAATAAGTTAAGCTATGAACATCCAAACTTGATTATTTGAGCCCTCTCACTCCTCCTCCTCGAGTCAGCAGCTGTGTATTTAGTGCTGACGCACTCGTTGACCCTTCCACCCAGCTACTGTGCATGTTTCACATAACCAGAAAAGATTTTTTTTCCCCACAAAGGCAGAGTGGCACTTTTGATAATAGCTACTCTTGAAGGGTTAAAGTATCAAGGAATTCCAGGTTATATTTGCTGCTATTCAGGATAAATGGTAATTACAAATACATTACAGTATTTTTAAATCACTTTGGTTTATAGTTAAGCTTGGCTTGTAAAAGTTTGGTTTGAAGGTACTCCACTGAGCTTATAAAATATCATGTGTGTTGAATGTTTGGTCTTATAGGAGCTCAATCCTCAAAGCCAAAAGTTACAGCTGCAACTGACCTGAAGGTGAGCATCTCGATGACCTGTCTCACCATAGGCAGAATTACTTTTGAGGTATCTTCGAATATTTTTGATGGTTTCTACTTCACTTTCTTCCTCGGCCTCACTCAAGTCAGTTGGCTCAAAGTATACTAGCTTTGTCAGGGTTCCGCCAATGTCCATTCCAAACCATGGCATAGCTGGTGAAAATTTTGTTTAAATTCATGTGATATCTATAATTTTTATTTCTTTGGCAAAAGGTCTGGAATTCATACACAAAAAGATAAGGTTTAAGATTATTTGTTAGATATTATTACATAACCAAAGTTAAGTAACATAAGAATAGCATATTAGATATAATTTAAGACATAGGAACATAATTACACAAGACACATAATTAAGAACACTAGCAGCACTACATAAAATTAAAGGAAATGGTGATTTCAAGTATTGACTGGATTAGAATGACAAAATGTATAGTGTACTGTATAGCTAAAATTTTATTTACAGCAAAACAAATAATAACTTAAAAAGTACTCTACAGACTATTGTAATTCAGAGAAGGATATTAAGATAACATCAGGTAATCTGAATTATGAGGTGGGAAGTGATGATATTCTTTATATGTGCTAATCTAAATTGAAACAAGAAGGGGAGAAAAAGCCTTAAATAGATTCCACTAAAGCCAAATATGGCTATTGATCAAAGACCAGCACTTACCAGTGTCCCAAAAGAAAAGTTCCTAAGCAGTGTATAATGTTAGAGGAATGCACAAGGAATAGAAGAATCTAGAAGTGGTAATAACCTTAAGGAAGAATTGTTGATGTGATAGGTTTATGTGGGACAAATATCAATGGAAATGAGAATGAGGAAGCAAATGGAGATGTATGAAAACTTGAGCAAAAGAAAACTACAGTATAAAAAAAGAGTATCCCAATTATGAATAAAAATTGAAATGTGATTTTGAGTAACTTTTTGTACTGCAGTTCAAGGTACTTGTACATGAAATTTAAGATTGAAAGAGCAAAAGGTTTGATTGTATATGCTCCATATGATGATAATTAGTGTAATAAAAATTGTTCTGTTAGCTTAGAGAATGATACTGGAATGGTAAAATGGGAATAGTTCCTGAAAATGACAAAGTGGGTGGAAATGGTGTCCCAGGGATATATGGCAATGGTTGCAGATTAAAAAGATTTATACAATGAAAGAAAGTTATGTACAGTATTACTAATACAGTTCTGTATATATTTTAAACATAAGAAAATACTGTAGCTTAAAGAATGACTTTTGATGTCATAATAATGTACTGTGGCTTCAAAAAAAATAAAAGGCTATTATGTTGAACACTGTCAGAGGTATGTTGAAAACCAAGAAATACAACAGTTCCAGTGAGTACTCATTATTGTCAAGCTGGGTATATCAAATCAAGCACAATTATTAAAGTATCAATAGTGTTCTTCAGGAGTTTCAAGCCAAATTCAGTGGGATTTAATTTATTGTGGTTAGCTAGATAAGTGTAAAGTTGCTTATATTCATAATTTACTCAAATAATTTAGCAAATGAGAGTAGGTCTCTCTCCTACTATCGGCCTAAAGTTGTCAAATTACTGGAATATGATTGGCTTTGGTCAAATAAAAAACATCACTGAAATAATCCCAGATCATAACTAGGAAAAGAGAATTTCTTACTTCATAGAATTTTGGTTGAAAGATATTAGACTGTACACGATACTGCTGAGCATATGGTTTGCTGATATTAATACAGTATACAGAACTGTCCAGTGGAATAATATACAGTATACAGTGTCAATACAATTATAAGATAGTTCAAAATTTGCAATAAATTATTTTAGTAAACTTACAAGGCATAGAGTCATGAGAAGTCTGGTGACCATTGCTCCCGTTCATCTCCATACAGGCCTTACTTTTGCATGGCACCGATCCTGCATAACCGTTTGCTGCTTGGCTACTTCCTACTGGAATTCTTGCTACATTTTCATCTGTAAGTAGCTTGTCTTCTACAGGCATTGTCTGAATCAAAGAAAAGCTCAGTGATAAGAAATGTAAGGATTGTATAACAGCAATGTAGGTCCAAATAAATTTAGTTTGCATTTGAACTGGTACAGTTTTCAACTGATACAAGAAATTTAGGAAGGGAAGGATACAAAAAAATAGGAAGGATACAGTACTTAAGACAAGATATCATTGAAGATTACACTATCTTCAAGCATGACCTTGTAAATTCCTGCATTCATGATACGCCTGATATTTCCGAGACAGAATTTGAAATTAGCTGGCGCTTATAATCTCAGATAAGAATAATTGTAATAATAATAAAAATAAATTTTTATCAAGACAATATAACCTGGTAGGATTTCAATATTATATATATACTGTATATAGAGTATATGGAGGCCACAGCCCTCCGAATTGCTGTGGCCCTCCGTCTTTATTTATTATATATATATATATATATATTATATATATATATATATATATATATTATATATATATATATATATATATATATATATATATATATATATATATATATATATATATATATATATATATATATATATATTACTGCCCGAAACGCTTTGCGTAATAGTGGCTTTAGGCATTGTATGTACTAGCTCTATCTATAAAGCCAACAAACTTTGTAAAATCTCTTTATGTATGTACCTTTACCTAAATAAAAATTATATTATTATTATTATATATGTATGTATATTATACACACACACATTATATATATATATATATATATATATATATATATATATATATATATATATATATATATACAGTATTTATAAATATATAATATATATATAAATATATGCATATATATTATTTATATATATATATATATATATATAATATATATATAAATATATGCATATATATTATTTATTATATATATATATATATATATATATATATATATATATATATATATATATATATATATATATATATATATATATATATATATATATATATATATATATATATATATATACTGTATATAAATAAATATATTTAATAAATAATATATAAACAAATAATAAATATGTAAAAAGAATATAAATATACTGTATACATTTGTAATGTGTTCTACACTGTGTGTGTACTACATAATTCATATAGTAGTTTACAATGTAATAACTTGCAATGGTAGAGTATGACTTGTTACCAATCAATCAATCAATTTCTTCTTTATTATGCACCCCATACCCATCCCGTGGGCGGTGGTGTAAATGATTACAGAGGCACATAATCGGTTCAGGAACTGATCCTTCTAGTTCGTTTAGCTAAGCAAATAACAATGTTTGACACTAGTTACAAAATTATTAATGTTGTATACACATGTACACACTCTCATACATACATGAGGCACCCCACACACAGCCCAGGACGTGCATGTGGTGTCCCCCCGGACGCTCCCGGAGGGACGAGCAGGAACTTAATAGTTACACCTTAACTAACACTGTTACCTTCCATTTTCAATGAAATAAGTCTGGTGCAAGTGACCATTCTTCTTTATGGCAAGTGGCCGTTCATCTTCCTTCGTGCGCTCTGTGGGGAGGAAGGTACACATGAGACGATGTAGACGGGCTGGCGTACTTACTGAGTTCTCTCACAGAGTGGAGTAATTGCGAGAGTTTAGGGTAGGAGAGGAGAATATAGCCAGGGAAGAGGAGTGTGTGCAGGCCGCTCGCCGTGCAGAGGGGAAGTGCCAACAGATGAGTCTCGCCACCGCTGATCGTACTCCAGCACGCTCGCCAACCCTACCGCCATTAGCCCCTTATTACCCCTTTTATCTTCTCTTTATTCCTCACTTATCTATCCTTAATTATCGTAAGACAAAGCGCGGGGGTGAGGATTTCTCTCGCCGTAGCTGGAGACACGCGTGATTATAGTGGTTTGTTAATTTTATGCATTAAAGGCAGATCTAATGTGACGTCATCATTTGTTTAGGTAGAAAGCTCTCCCATTGGAGGAGAAGCATCACGTGACACCTGTGCATGGCCGTGATTGTCTCCTTTGCCTTCGATTTTATCTCAAAGCCTGGGCCGTGTTTTTTTAGCTTCTTCCAGACCCTTGAGGTGTTTATGATTGTTAATGTACATAGAGAACAATCTCCTACAGTATCTGCTATGACAGGAGTGGAGCCTGAAATAAATTAACGTGCAGAGTGAGGTATAAAATATTTGCACGTAATTATATCCTCAGCAAAAACATTTACCCTAAGTCTAGCTAGCGGCCTGTCAATTCAAGGTTACGCGTCTAATGATCAAACGTATATCCGTGTGTAGGCACCCGCCGGAGTCTGGCATCTGCTATTGACCTAGATTAATAGGAAACATCCGCTCTGATCTTTTATTACTTCACATTTGTTGGTTAATTTGTAATTTAGTCTATTTATAATGCATCCCGTGCCCATTCTGTGGGTGGCATTGGTAATCAAAACGAGACCAAATTGTTCAACATTTCCAGCTTTCACGTTTATGTTTTAAGTACACGATAAAAGAGCGCTATTCTAATTTATTTATTTATATACAAGAAGGTACATTGGGGGTTAAGAGGTACATAGCAATGATGAGTTTACATTCTTGTAAAGCCACTAGCACTCATAGAGTTTCAGACAGGTAATTAGAAAAGTATATAATGTAGGCCATTATATATTAGCCGTGAAATAATTTTATCCCTAATTATATCATTACACCGGGTTGATTATGTGTTATAAAGTGCACACAAACATACATATATATACAGAGGGACGCATTGCCAATTTTATGAGTGCCGGAGCTCTGGCGGGCCTGACAAAAGCCTGTCATTTCCTATCCTATCTTTATCTGAATTTGCCTGAGGGCCACTAGTTTAGTGGCCTTGATGAGGACAGGAAGCCGGCGGTTTATCAAATGTCTCCCCCATTTGACCTGGCGATCTTTTCCAACTATATTTTAAAACCCAGCAGAGTTTTGGCGTTTGCTGCTTCGGCGGGTAGGCAGTTCCACGGGTTTACAACCTTATGGGTTAAAAACAATCTACTGTTTTCTGTCCTACATTGTGGCTTGTTTAATTTGAACCCGTTGCTCCTCGTTCGTGTTACATCTGACTTTTTGAAGAAATTGCTCGGATCGACATCCTCCAAATTGTTCAGCATTTTTAAGGTTTCGATGAGATCCGCCCTGTTATGTCTGGCTTGTAGTGTTGTTAGCCCTGTGGCCCTCAACCCTTCCTGATACGAGAGATGATTAAGCTGTGGGATAATTTTTGTTGCCCGGTGTTGCACCTTCTCCAGAGCAGCCAGGTTTTTCTGAAGCTGAGGTCTCCATGCCTGGGAGCAATAATCCAGGTTGGGGCGCACCAGAGACTTATACAATTGAACGACTACTTTCTTTTCCTTGAAGGTAAAAGTAAGCTTGATTGTTGACCAGACCACACACTAGAAAGTGAAGGGACGACGACGTTTCGGTCCGTCCTGGACCATTCTCAAGTCGATTGTAATTATTCATAGTCGATTATTCGATCGTGATTATTCATAGTCGATTATTCGATTGTGATTATTCACAAACAGCTCATCTGCATCAATTGTGATTGATTATTACGCTTGATTATTCCCAGGGTTTGGTTCGCTTTTTTTTACTGCCGCTTCCACTTCTTGTGCAACTTTTAGTTAAAAAAGGTTTCTGGCTCCAAGGCCATTTTCTTCATCTATTTGTTGTAAGGTAGTGCTGTCAATTTGGTTGTTGTGACGGGGATTGTTATGCCCCCACATGCAAGGTCTTGCATTTATCGACATTAAAAAACATTTGCCAGTCATCGGACCATTTGTGGAGTTCATGTAGTAAGGTGACCCCCGGGACCCTTTGTAAGGTCTCAATATCACTTTCACTTCCCTCTTTCCCATAGATCTTAGTGTCATCTGCAAATTTGATGATTGTAATATTCTCATCTATGTCATTGCTGTATATGACAAAAAGGATTGGCCCCAAAATGGCCCCCTGTGGCACTCCACTTAGCACATTTCCCCAGTCAGATTCATTCCCATTTAGCACGACTCTTTGTTTTCTATGTTTTAACTATTGTTTTATCCAGTCCCTCATTCTTCCACACGATTACGTATTGTCACACGATTAAGTATTTTGTGTTTGTACTAATTATCGTAAAATATAATTATCAAACAAATAAAGAAAAAAAATCAATCATGTATTTATTAATTTAGGAAATTAAAAGAGTTCTCACAAAATACAACCAGTGAGAAGTTTGACCCCTTGTGGATACAATAGTATCCACAAGGGCCTTGATGGATACAATAGTATCCACAAGGGGTCAGGTGTGAGATGTTTTCAGGGGTGCAGGCGAGGAGTCACAATAACGTGGCTGAAGTATGTTGACCAGACCACACACACTAGAAAGTGAAGGGACGACGACGTTTCGGTCCGTCCTGGACCATTCTCAAGTCATTTTCATGGGTGTGAATCAAGTCTTGTCCTGGTGTGTAATCTGCCCATCTGTGGTACCGCAGCCATATGGTATATGGCTCAGGAATCCTCTGAACTAGAGGAGGTTCATGTAGCTTAACAAACATAAGTGCTGATACATGATTTGTGAGAACGCTTGAGCGTGTTGTTATTATTATCAGGTTCATGTGACTGGATCCCTTCTCACACTCAGCAGTACTAATTGGAATAACTTGTAAACAGCTCAGTAATGGGTGTAAATCTTCGGGCGTCTATGATCCTTCAAATACGCTGCACTAAATGCCTTTAGAAACTAAGAAGAAAGCTTAAACCTCTTACAGAAATATAACATTTCAGCTTCGTAATTAGGTGGTATTTCATCAGGTCAGTAGTCTTGTTCAAGAACACACATCTCACTTAGCAATGATTTATACATTGAGGTTCAGAAGTTTGAGAGCCTTTCATGGATGTTGTCGTGAACATATACGGTGCTGAAAATTTTTCACAAAGCTAGTAAGAAACTGTTGATAATTAATGGAGACAAATTTCTTGTTACTTGTTATGGTAATTCCTCCTAACGTCGTCTTCATTTCAATTGCCTTTTGAGCTTGTAAAGTTCTAGTGCCAGGTTTCTCTTTTAGTCCATGCAATGACCTTATACTACTTTGAATCAGTTTGTCAACATACACAATCGAAGTAGTGTGTTTCTGTAGACACTGACAATAAACCAAGTTCATGCAACGTGTCATACAATACAGCTTATTTATTTATTTATTTATTTATTTATTTATATATACACAAGAAGGTACATTGGGTTTGTGAGAATACATTGGATAGTACAGTATTTACATTCTTGTAAAGCCACTAGTACGCGCAGCGTTTCGGGCAGGTCCTTAATCTAGCAGATAATTTTAAGTAGGTAATTTCAATCAGAATTGATAAATGATAAAGATACATTACAAGAGAAAAATGAGATGAGAGAGATAAGTAAGTATATTAAAGCACATTGTTATATTAAAGCTCTGATTGATTACATTGACAGCTTGATTAGTAATTTAAATAAGGTTAATAGACACCATACAGCAGATTGACAGCACATATAAGACAGCAATGATCACAATGGTAAAGATGTTCAGATTGGGTACATAAAGATTGGGAGACTGGGTAGCAAAAGATACAGATAAACAAGATTTATAAACACCATACAACAGATTGGCAGCACATATAAGAAAACAGCAATGATCACAATGGTAAAGATGTTCAAATTGGGAATATAAAGGTTGGGAGATTGGGTAGCAAATGATACAGTGCAATTTTAAGGCAAAAAGTGAAAAACTATGAAGATGAAATTAGGTATTTTTTAGTATTGATTTTGAATGATGTAAAAGTTGGACAGCTTTTCAATTCAGTAGGGAGTGAGTTCCATAAGCTGGGTCCCTTTATTTGCATAGTGTTTACACAGATTAAGTTTAACTCTGGGGATATCAAAAAGATATTTATTTCTGGTGTGGTGATAATGGGTCCTATTACATCTGTCCAGGAAGAGTTTCAGACAAGGATTTGCATTTAAGAACAGGGTTTTGTAAATGTAGTTGACACAAGAGAATTTGTGGAGTGAGATTATGTTTAGCATGTTTAGGGAGTTAAACTAGGGGGCTGTGTGTTGTCTGAAAGCAGAATTTGATATTATAATAGTATTATAGCTAAATACAATAGAAACTGTTCTGAAGTTAGCTTTTTCAACAGACCTTCATAAGTTTTTTATCATTTCCAAAACTTGTTTTATCTTTCACTGCTTTTTCAGAATGAACAAAGTACTTCATCATTTTTCCACACTGCTGAACTCTTCGAGACGAGCTGGCCACCCACCTGGTGCCCAGAACACGGCCTATTATGCAAAACTGTTGTTCAAGTTGAGACGCACATTCAGATAGTTCCTTTTGATTTTGATGTGAAATTGCTTAGCTAAATGAATTGTGGGGTTCAGTCCCTGAGCCCATTATGTGCCTCTGTAACCCTTTCCACTACCGCCCACAAGACCGGTATGCGGTGCATAATAAATGAACTAAACTAACACGCATAGTTACGCATTATTTATTTATTTATTTATGCATATACAAGAATGTACATTGGTAATGTGAGGATACATAATATGGTAATTACAGTCTTGTAAAGCCACTAGTACGCGCAGCGTTTCGGGCAGATAATAAACATAGTAATACGCATAATAAACACACTTTCATGACTTGTGCTATATCGTCGGCCTGACTAAAATAATGGCTTACAGAATTTGCATAAATTAATGTTAATCTTATTGAA